ATTCTTCATGACCAAAGTTGGAATTGAAATAAAAAAGGAAAGTGAAACCTCTGCTCGTCACCCTCTCCCTCCGGTCCACATTAATACAAATGATCCCAATACGTATGATTGTATGAAAAGATCTTAAAATCAATACAAATGTATTTATTATAAACGTTAGTCCTTACCATCTATCACTGTGTATATCACCATTCAAACATCTTTTAAAAGTTGAACAAACCCCACACAGCTCAGTAAAGACTGTGAGATGTTGACTTTATTTGATCATTTCAGTAAAAACTAACGTTCATATTTCTCTTTTTGATTACAATACTGATGAACGTTCAAAACAAAGCACTTTGGCAACTTACCACATACGTTTTAAAATGCTTAATAAGCACCGTAACTTTCATGATATAATTTCTCCGTCATAATCGATTGTTTCCGTGAACGGCCGACTGTTGAGTGACGGCAAATGCTGCGGCTGCAAGGCATTGTGGGGCAGCATTTTCTCCTCTCCTTTCGGTTAGGGAGGTCCAGTGGTTCCTAAGCTAAAGGAGGTTATAAAGGAAGTTTGAAACCTCCTTTCCTTTCATTTGGAGAATTGGAACGGCACTTATCATGACTGCCAGTGAGGGACTTCCGGGTCATTTCACTCCGTTAGGAAGGTTCCTAAGCTAAATGGACTATTCGACTGCAACCTTGGTGTGGATGATGTCCAGGTTAGATTTGTTAAAATTATTCTACTGAAGAGTATGATGTAATTGTCATTTTTGACACTTTTGACTTTTCACACTACAGGGCCTACCAAGACAAGGGTTCTCGAACAACTGTGGGGTGTTTGTTTTGATGGTAAGATACTGGATATACAGTATACATATAGTAGTCCTATTTTTCTGTTTATAATAATGTATACAAATGTATACTGCTTTCAGCATGCTATGCACTCCATTATTGCTCATAGTTCGAGACATGCTGTGATTTATTTATATCCAAAACAACATTCACGGAGGAATATTATTTGTCAATGAACACCATAGCATCACAACAACCTAACATGATATACTATTTCTTTATTTACAGTACGCATTTTACATTGTGGCAAGAGCCCAATTTGATTTCAATGAGGTATGTAGAAATAAGGGTTTCATATTTCAGTTTTTCATTGATATACAAGACTTTTCAGGACATGTGTTGTTGACCCATCTGGTTGTGTGCTTTTTATATTCCAAGACAAACATGCAGCAAATTAGGCACTGGTGGTGCCTAGTTCTCCTCAAAGACGTTCCCATGCCGTATGTTTCTTTAATTTTACAATTTACATTTGCATTCTTGAGACTATTTGTTACACTGTAACCTGACTATATCATTTTTAATGAATGTTTTTAATGTTTGTCTTTCATTCACCAAGGTCTGAACAAGAGAGGTCGCAAGACTGCAAGAGGCGACGGGAGGAAAAGGCAATGGTTAGTTGAAGTTGTTGAATCACAAATGATAAAGTCTTGAACCAGTGTGAGTGTTAAACATTTAACCTCTCTTTGTCAAATATATTTCAGGATGAAGAGGTTGTGAGGTTCCACAAAAGAAGCAGGCCATCATTTGAGATGGGGTCATGAGTGAGCGCTGCTGGGGGGGGGAGCTGTTACAATCAGCTGTATTAGGTTCACTAATGCCTCAAAATGTATTAGTTGTCACGATCTGTCTGTGTATTATTTTGTCCTGTCTTGTCTGTTGCTTTCTGTGTTCAATCAAATTGAAAGTCCTGAATTCAAAGTGTTTCTTAAGTAAAAGAGTATAAGTATTATCAGCTAAATGTACTCGAAGTATCAAAAGTAGAAGTACATGCGGAATGGCTCTGTTCACAGTATTATATTACCATTGATATTATCCTGTCAATTCTATCAATACGATGGCACTTTTTTTAAATATTTTTTTTTAAATACTGGTAGGAAATAATGTGATAATACTTTCATTTATATCACATGTTTTTCAGTAAAAAGTGAGTAAATATACAATATTGCCTCTGAAATTAAAATTAAAAAGTTAAAAAACAAATGAAGGCCCTTTCTTGAAGTCATAACTGAAATAATTGATGCAGTTAACATGCAAATAGATATTAAAATATGCTTTGAAGGCTGTTAATGTGTTTAATTTGAGTTTTACATGCCGTTGCCATGGCGACAGATCACTCGCCATCATCACAGACCTCAAGGTATCATTATATTACCGGTATCATTATATATTAATAATATAAGATATAATATGTTAAAATAGTTAATACTCTGACGCTATGATTAACAGAACAGAACTACTACCCCGGAAACAGGATGCAATGCGTCATCTGTGAAGCTCGTCACGTGCCTCAAAGGTTGAGAAGGAGGGGCCGTCAGTCAAGTGCCTCAAAGGTTGAGAAGGAGGGGCCGTCAGTCAAGTGCCTCAAAGGTTGAGAAGAAGGGGCCATCAGTCAAGTGCCTCAAAGGTTGAGAAGGAGGGGCCGTCAGTCAAGTGCCTCAAAGGTTGAGAAGAAGGGGCCATCAGTCAAGTGCCTCAAAGGTTGAGAAGAAGGGGCCATCAGTCAAGTGCCTCAAAGGTTGAGAAGAAGGGGCCATCAGTCAAGTGCCTCAAAGGTTGAGAAGGAGGGGCCGTCAGTCACGTGCCTCAAAGGTTGAGAAGAAGGGGCCGTCAGTCAAGTGCCTCAAAGGTTGAGAAGGAGGGGCCGTCAGTCAAGTGCCTCAAAGGTTGAGAAGAAGGGGCCATCAGTCAAGTGCCTCAAAGGTTGAGAAGGAGGGGCCGTCAGTCAAGTGCCTCAAAGGTTGAGAAGAAGGGGCCATCAGTCAAGTGCCTCAAAGGTTGAGAAGAAGGGGCCATCAGTCAAGTGCCTCAAAGGTTGAGAAGAAGGGGCCATCAGTCAAGTGCCTCAAAGGTTGAGAAGAAGGGGCCATCAGTCAAGTGCCTCAAAGGTTGAGAAGGAGGGGCCGTCAGTCACGTGCCTCAAAGGTTGAGAAGGAGGGGCCGTTAGTCACGTGCCTCAAAGGTTGAGAAGGAGGGGCCGTCAGTCAAGTGCCTCAAAGGTTGAGGCACAAAAAGCGTGACCACATCACCCCAATTCTGGCTTCCAGTCCGTTTCAGAATTTATTTTAAAATCCTTTTATTTGTATTTAAAGCACTAAATGGGTTGGCTCCGGCCTATATAGCTGAACTCCTCCAGCGCTACACCCCAGACAGAGCTTTAAGATCTGCTGATCAGCTGCTGCTGGTAGTGCCTAAGACCAGGCTCAAAACCTGAGGGCACCGAGCCTTCGCAGCAGCTGGCCCCAGGCTCTGGAACACTCTTCCCCTCCATGTGAGGTCGGCCCAGACCCTAGGGGCTTTTAAATCCACACTGAAGACACACTACTTCTCTCTGGCCTTCTAGTTAGAGTGGGGTCACGACTCCTGACTGTTCCATGTGTTGTTTTTATCTGTTGTGATTTATTGTGATGTAATGTGTTTTTATGTGCTTAAATTACATGTACAGCACTTTGGCTCGACCAAAATCGTTTTTAAATGTGCTCTACAAATAAAACTTGATTTGATTTGATTTGAGAAGGAGGGGCCGTTAGTCACGTGCCTCAAAGGTTGAGAAGGAGGGGCCGTCAGTCACGTGCCTCAAAGGTTGAGAAGGAGGGGCCGTCAGTCACGTGCCTCAAAGGTTGAGAAGGAGGGGCGTTGAGGCTCCGCCCATGTTGAGGTACTGCACACTGCAGTGAGGGGTACTACGCTTCAGATAAAAATGAACACGTAATGAAATATGACCCCCGGTTTGATGATTGACAGGTCACAGAACAATGGGGGCTATCTACCCTTACCCACAATGTAAAGTAATTCACACAGACTATCTCCTCTTTACTCTTCTCTCTGTGAGGAGCAGCAAGCTGTCAGAACTAAGTGAAAAACAAACAATGGCATAAATTATTATTAATATGTCGGGTAGTAATAGATGTATTTATTTTCTTCTCAGTGTACCAGAATGCGTAGTTTATATGTTAGTATTTCTAAAAATCTCCTGGGGGATAATCCCCCCAGACCCCCCCAGCTGGGGTTGGGTTTTCAGCATGTGTGACTTTTTATGTCAGTTCATCTTTGATTCCATCATCTCATTAAACCTTTTTTAAAAGCATACTTTAGTTCTGTGAAGAGATATAAGGGATATTTGCACTGTACTTCACATTAATTATATATTACAGCACGATTTTTTGTTGAATAGATTTGAGTGGTTCAAAATTTCGGGTCGCGATTTATTGATAAAGGAAAAAGTGGGTCCCGAGGCCTGACCAGTTGAGAACCACTGCTTTAGAATACTACCTCTTTGGACAATTTATTAATTATTAATGTTATTTATATTTACATATTGAAAACAAGCTACAAAATGTAATACCTTGGAAAATGCCGTTTAATACTTTTTAATAGTCTTAATTTTCGCTAAATTGATTTATCAGCTTTTAATACTTTTTAAGACCCCGCGGACACCCTGATTATGTTTAATTTCTAATCAAATTCCTATCGTTTGAAGTATATTGGCTGTACCACTATTATGCAAAGACAATTTCAGTGCAATACCTGACCCTGTAGTGGTGAATGATCACTAATATTGGAAAAAAATGCACAACCTAGCTTGCTTATTGTGAAAATTAGCCAAAACTCTAATGGCAACATTCATCAGAAAGTCAATTCCTGAGAGTTCAGAAGTGGAGCTTCAGCTGCTGCCTGCTGTGAGCCTGTGAGACAGACAGGACAACTCGCTGTCTGCCAGAACGGGATAGAGTTTCAAGTGGATTCATTCACAAATGCAACAATTTCAAAAGTGTTAATTGAACAAAAACCTACTAACTTTAGGCACGAAACTGTTCATTAATAGTTTCAGGGACTGAACATAATCGTTTTGGTTAGTTAGCTGCAGCAACAAACAGGAAACAGACACAAAAACAACTGGAAAATACATTAATGCATTTATTGTTAACGCCAGAAATGATATACGTTACCTTGACACAGCCTAAACGTCCTATCCTCAGCAAGGAAGCCGCCATCTTTCCTCTCAGCCTGCCTGTGCTGGGAGATTCATAAATACACGATAAACGAAGACAATAGTGAATACTTCACCATATCTACAATGGCAGCTTTAATTAATTATATTACGTAACGTCGTGCATGACAACAGAACCGCAATAAAAAGCATCTGAGGCACACTGTACACCTTTATCTGACTGAGATAAAAAAAAACTATCTGTGGTGCAAGAAACATTAAGTGTTATCACATAGACGTGGATATTGATAGTTACCTTTTGATCAAATGAAGGCTGTTCTACGGTTCTCCTGAGCTGGACGGGCAAGACACGGCTCCCAGCAGCATGCACAGGGCTCAGTCCTTTATCCTGCTCTTTATGTAACACATGAATGTGACTGTCAACGCCCCCTTCCCATGCTGTCCGTTACACACAGGTCGTTTGATTTTAATGTTATAGGTGTTTCATATTCAGTTTTCATATGTTATACAGTCTGTGAATATGTGGACGCTGCACTGTAATAAGCAGGGTCTTCTCACTCACTAGTCACTAGCATGGCCAACTTTCCCTTTGAAATTGGATAAATTCAAGATGCTGAGCTTCACTAATGGTAGCTTCAGTAACGCTGCTTAGCCAACTGAAATGCGTTTATTTCATATAGGAAGTTGTGTTTATTTTGTTTATTAACCCTATCTTTGTCCCACAGCAGCTCTCTTGTGTACATTCTGTACTTTTTGAAGGGGGCGTGTGTTGTGCTTAGCTGCTGACGTAATTAGCAAGCGACAAATTACGGCTGTCGCGTGGGCTCTACCCGTTCTTATTATACATCCATGGCTCTACCGGATCTGCAGCTCTGCCCGATCTGCCCGATCTGCCGTGCGCAATTTTGTACAAGTTTGTATCTTGTACTTTTTCACAATTACGTCACATCCATTCGCTAGTGCTCCGGTCGCCTGACACACACTCCGCAGCCATGCCTGCTGTCGGTTTCTGTGGAGAGTGGTTTATTTTCACCTGCGACAAGAAACTTGTAGCAATTCACACCAAACAAGCCAGGTTTGAACTTCGTTTCCTCCGTCATGTATTTCACATGTCATGCCTTTGTGTCACACGGCGGACAACTACCAGCTAGCACTGTTAGCTAGCTTGCAGTCTTTGGAAAGAAAGCATGGAGGATCATTTCAAGTTTTATTATTATTATTATTTAAATATATACAATTGCAAATACACTTGGAAACGTGAAGATGTTGTGGCACATTTTTAGTTTTGGCCTTCAGCAACAGATGATATGATTTATAATGTGTATAGTGATATATTTGTAGGGAGTTGCACGGGGTACAAAGAGTCACTCTAAAATGAACCTTCTGCAAAAGTGCTGAGAGTAGATTTATAGTATAAGTCCAGATGAGATAATAATGAATGTGTTTACAGCTGGCTACTAAATAAATGGTTAAAAATACATAAAAAGTCAGTGGCACAGGAAATGTTAAGAATATAACAACATTCGTTCATCTGTTACTCTATTGCAGAGAGTCCTTTGTGTTTGACTGCAGCACCGCTGAGAAGAAGCCCAACAATACAAAGGATGTCAGTAACGGGTAAGCACAATGTTCTGGTTGTTGTTTTATTAATAATATGATTATTGGCATTTTCTTATATTGAAACAACAATCAAAAATCAACATGTTCTTCACACTTAGGCCTACATACACACGCCTCAAACTTGCACTAGTATTAAATGGCATACATAAAATGAAGTTTGGTCCGTTTTTTTTGTCTGTTTGAAGTGCTTTGGATATATTTAAATTGCACAAAAGCCATTTCTCAATTCAAATGTTCCCCTCCTCGACTCCCCTCCTCTCCTCCTATCCTCGTGTCTTAGTCCCGCCCACAGGAGATGGGAGCGGAGGAGTCGAGGAGGGGGAACCGAGGAGAGAGGAGGGGAAGCAGCAGGCGTGTATATCATATAAATGATTATATATCATACACTGTATATATAAATGGACGTAGTGTCTGTGACGTCACCCATAGGTTTCTGCAGAGTTGCTGAGAAGCCCTTAGATATAATTATATATATATATATATATATCTGAAAGTTTCACAGATTTTATTAGAAAATATACATTATAACAGCTGTTACTTGTCTCCTCTGTTCTCAGTGATGGCGGTGCCTCAGAGGAAACAGGAAGTGACAAAGTCCTTGCCTTTGCTGTTTCTCCTTCCGGAAAGCTGGTGGCGCTGACTGATGATTCCAAGAGACTGGTCCTGTTTCACTGTGAGCCTTCATGGCAGTGTATCAGCATCAGGTACCACTTCAGTCCAAGCAGCTTCATATACTGTATAGAGGACCATGCGAGGTGTGTTAATAGTAGCTATGTGTTTGTTGCACAGGTGGGTGGTGAGGAGGTGCACCTCCCTGATGTTCAACCAGGCAGAGGACCAGCTCCTGGCCACCGACAAATCAGGAGATGTGTACTCCTTCTCAGTGGGGGAGCCGCAGAGAGAGGGCGAGCTCAAGATGGGCCACCTGTCCATGTTGCTAGCCATGGTAAGGAGCACTCACACTGGGCTAAGACTAGCCTGCAGAACCTGAACAAATATGTTAAACCATGTCTAAAGTATTCATTCGGTAGTATCTCATTAAGTATTATGAGAAAGAGGTTGACAGACCTGTGCACTTCTGTCCACTCCCTGATGCATTAAGATATCCAACAGTACACTGTAATTGAATCACTGAACGTGTGTAGTTGGGCCATTCATTTAATTTCTAATTATTATTACTCATATGCAGTTTTTAAAAATATGTATTTAGTTGGAATCAAAACAATAAGAGGGAAATAATTACAATAGCTTGATCTTACATCACAGAGATTTCCGAAGGCTGAACTACACTTTGACTCTCTCCGGCATGTTCAACTTTACCTTTGCTTTTCTAGCCTTTACCTGTCTGTATTCACTTCAGATGTGAGAACTTCTATTGTCACAGAAATGTAAGACTTCTAATAAGATTACTTTTTTTATATATGTTTTTAACACATTACAAAAAAAACACAACATACAGGTCACCAGAGGCAAAACCGCACATCAATATGTCCTCGGCAATTAGTCCTGTGCACCGTCCCTCAAAACGGGTTCACAACAAATCTGTGTCGATTCATTCTCAGAAGAGGCTTGTAGATACATGTACGAAACATGAGCAAGTAAATCCCATATAGGAAATCGGAAAGAAGTAACAGATTCGTTGTACCAGAACATTCTCCATGGATTTTACAACAACCCTCTTGATGTGTAAAACCCATTTGGACCAGTAATTGTCAAATGTATCACAACAGAGTCTTAAAGAGCCTGTGACACGAGTTTCCCCCATCATCCAAACCCATCAATTTGAGTAAATCCTCTTGAAAATCGTTACTGAACTGATTTTGGATATTTGTACTTTGATAACCATTAATCTGCCCTTCAATGTTGACCATATTCTGGATCTGCTCTGGGATTCTTCAAGTCACGCCAAATGATGTGTGACGTCATTGCGGGCACAGCGCTCCAGCTGCACCGTTCAGGATCCCAGCATCTGCATGTAAACGCACGATGGCGCACACAGCAGCAAGCTCAGACAGCGATGACAGTTTAATTTTGAACGTGTCTGAGAGCTCATGAGGCTGAAGGATCGGTTTATGTTGTATCTGTTAGAAGTTTAGGAATTAGGTGCGTCAATATGGGCGATCATACGGTCATGTAGCCAGTGGTGGACTGGGACTAAAAATCATCCCGGGACTCTCGACCGGCCCACTTCGGTACCGCTAGTAAATTGTCAACGGGGGGAGTGGGGGATGTGCTAGTGACTTATCCGACCGGCCCACTTCGGTACCGGCCCATCGGGATTCGTCCCGATGGCCAGTCCGCCACTGCACCCAGCCCAGCCCACGTAAACTGTCAACGGGGGGAGCCTCGCTGCGGGGAAACGGTGGACCTAGTGTCCCGATCGGAGTGGGAATAATAATAATAATAATAATCCGTGCATTTTATCCATTAATTTCCCCAACATTGTGGTAAAAAAACCACACGTTTAATCCATGTTGGTGTACTACAACTACAAAAAGCATCGGTTTGTTTTCTCATCAGGAAATGCAGACCGGCTCAAACAAACGATTTTTAAATCATCAACTTCACCACGATCATTTATGTTTATGTTCGCCGAATTGACATGAAAGCACTGACAAATATGAATATACTGTAGTCAACTTCATTAAAACGTTATTAACGTGCCTAAACTCAGTAATTCACCATTTCTACGCATGACAACACACTTTGTCCGTGTTTGGCTCTCTCGCCCATGCTCTCGCCGCACAGTGAAGCGTTCCCTCATTGACGTCACTTCCGGCTTCCCCCAAAACTTCAAAATGAGTCGAAGGAATTTCCCCACGATGTTCGAAATTATTGATATTTATCGGAACGGTATCGCACCTTCTTTTTTAAACTGACGGTTCGAGATGACTAGTAGCCCAATATTTCATTGCACAACAGTTGTTGGGAGGCTGTCACAGGCTCTTTAAAGAAAAAGTAAGTTTTTCCATATGAAACATGTCATTTACAATGTTTCACCATTCTCCCTTAGTTGGAGGTTCTTTCACAGTTATTTTAAGAAATGGCTTTTTCATTAGCTATCAGTAATGTTTTAAGAAGATACTTGTCCCGAACATTTAATTCAACTGGTATTAATAATATAATTTATTTAGGTTATTATCGATAGCCAATAATATTGGATTACTTGACTCTTCCAGAATATGTGGAAGTGATCAGCCATAATATTACTACAATGCCTCCAGCACTGTCCCTGTCACTACCTGATCTGTACCGGAAACCCGATCGGTTCTGTGCATGTGTGCAAATATTGATTTACTGCGTTATTGAGAAGGTGCCAACGTTTTTTTAAATGCTTTTGAACAACTGTTTCAACAACAACATCTAAAATATAATATCGAACTGAGGGCATTATAGAGAAAGAAAAACTAATCATTTAAAAATAATATATAACATTTATTTGTTTAGGAAAGATTTTGAGATCACTTTATCTTATCTTTAGCAATACATTGATAAAATATGTTAAAGCGGACCTATCATGCTATATTTGAAACATATATTGTAGGACCATACCTATATAAAACATGTCTGTGAAGTTACCCTTTTTCAAAATACCAAACAGATCATACATTTTAGCCATGCCTCATTTCGCTCCATTTGCTCTTTTCCAGCCCTGTTTTTGCAGGGGCTGATTCTGCTTTTGTGGCAGACTACAGCGCCACTTACAGGCCTGGCATATGTACTACAGCGTCTCCAGCGCTTTCGAGCGGTCTCTCATTCCCCTGATAGGTGGAGAGTTGCCCATATAGGCGGTGCACCCCTTTTCTGACGTCAGAAAAATAAAAATAATAATCAGATCCGTTGCAGCCCCGTTTTTAGAGATTTGGGTATGGAGGAAAAGAGAGAGGGTTGTGTTTTCTGACACTTGGTGAGTTCCCTGACACACCGGGGACACATATTCATGTATAAAAGATGTACAAAAGTGCATTTTGCATGATAGGTCCCCTTTAAGTGTGAATTTTTATAACACTGACAAAATCCAGTGGTCCACTTACTT